TTGTGACCTCACCGCTTTCTGCGTGCCCTGAATTTAAAGCGATATCGTGATTTCCCTCCAGGGCAGCCTGCAAGGCAGTTGGCAGGAATGAAAGCACATCACCCGAGTTGATAATACTTTCATTTTGGCTGCCTTGGTGCCATGCTGCTGGCTGCTGCCAATTATTATTAGTAATTCATTTCTGTTTTTGTTTATCTAATTCCTTTATTGCCCAATACCCAAATCTCTCCAGGTAGTTCAGAAGGCAGAATAAAGAAAGGATACATTGTATTAAAAACATATTAAAACAACATTAAAAGTTTGTAGTACTTAATTTAAAACCACACATTAAACAGGAAGAGAGAGAGAGAGAGAAACTTAAAGAAGAATGCCAATGCAAGACAGGTTAGGGCTGTTTTAGAGAACATAGTGATGCTTAGATTCCAGCTTGCCCTGGGGCGCCTCCCTTCCTGCTCATCATGATAAATATCTCCTTTTTTCACCTTCAGGATAATAATATGTAACACATTTTCTTCCTTTGGGGCACATGGATTGCTGCATAATGGGGTTATATTGTTGTGGAAAACTGTGCCATTAAAAAATGTTTTTGTTTGTTCCTTTAACGTGTTAGGGCTCTAATCCCACCTCTCATTTGGACCATGTCTGCTATGCAGGTTTCTGGTTCTTTGCCCTATCTCCCTTGGTAGCAATTTGTGATGATGCTGCAGAAAACCTTTCACACTGCAAAGGGTACTTACGTGCCAAAATGTTTGTCTCACCCTTGCCCTATGATGGCAGTGGCAGTGCTGATACATGTGCACTCACTAACAAGGAACAATTTATATTCAAAAAATGGCAGGGAATGAGGATTTCCCCACAGGACAACACAGAATGTTTGACTATCACCTGCAGTTAAGTGTAGCTGACTCTAATACTGGTTTACTAGTCATAGTTAGCCACATATTTCATCTTTCCTGCCCACAGGACTGTGCTCCTGGAAATTTGGGGCTCTCACCCAGAATCTTCTGCACAGATCAAAGCTGGTGGAAAGAACTGGGAAGGGTGCAGCAACCAATGAGCAATTGTCGCAGACATATAAGTATTAACTCACCTAGTGACCAAATGTTGTCCAAGTTACTTGCCAGAGATTACACAAAGTGAAGTCTTTCCCCCACCATTTTATCTCAGAAAACAGGGCTGAAATTATTATGACTACATTTTCTCTATGGATCATTTAGTTCTGATGCAACGTCTCCTTTTGAATTCTTGCTTTGAATATTTTGAGAAAACCTAAATTTGCAACATTCAGACTCATGCGTGAACATGCTAACTTAGCACAGAGAATGCTTGGTCAAAGGATAAGTAGCAGGCTTCCTAGACTAAGCTTAGGTAGCAAAGTCCTGGGAGGGATTTTTATTTGCCACTGCTATTTTTAAGAACACCCCAAAATTCAAAATCTTGGGCGAGATGAATATTTTGAAGACCTGTATTAGATGGATGGAGATCAAAGAGATGATGTTCATTGGTCCTTTCAGTTGACAAAGAGGAAAAACATCAAGCAGGAGGATGCACAGTCAAAAGATAATGGCAAACTGATGTTAATGCATACAGAGGGCATATTTATTGGTAATTTAAGAAAGAAGAATGACTTATATTATAAACCTACACTCACTTACCTGGAATTAAACATGTATAAAACTGCACCCTAAGAGCACCTCTTGATTCAGGATGCAGCCTTATTCAAGGTCAGACAGTTTGTCCATCTATTTTTAAATAATTAATTTGTATTGCATTCTATATTGCCTACTCGGCAAAGTGCCCTGGGGTGGAGGTTCAAAAAATAAAAAAAAATGTAGCCACATCTAGTCCTGTATTTTCTACTTTGACTAGTAGCGACTCTGCTGTGCCTCAACCAATGGCTGTCCACCTCACCTGTGATTATTTTTTTAAAAGGCACATGCCAGGGACTGAACCCAGGACTGGGGATCATAGGCAAAGCCTACGATCTAATTTCTGGTCCCTCAACATCATAGGCCACTGATAACTCATTGTGAAGCCATGCCCTATCAATAGAAATCCAAAAAAACCCAAAACTGCTCATGATAGTGTAATCGTTTCCTTGGCATGGCTTTTTAAATTATTTCATTGAATTGAATGAATAGTGAATATGAAGGTTCTTCTTTATAACACTTACAAAATCATGAAGAGTTCTAATCAACAGTCAAGTTGCTCAATTCTGAAAGAGCACATCCTTAAAAAAACTAAGCCAAAAATACATATGGGTTCACCAACATTTACAATGATCCCAGTGCTGAAAAAAGTATTGTTTAGGCAATTTTTGGAAACTCTTTCCAAGAAATGTTGATTCATTTACATTACACTATTTCACACTTGAAATTAAGCAACAGTGTGACATGATCTTGTTAACTGGATGATCTGCATGAAAATTCACCCCAGATTACCAACAAGCAGTGGAGAAGGTTTCATTCAGTTTTACTCCCTCGTAGTCATGCAAATAATGTTTGTATATATTTCTTTCTATAGTGGAGATGTCCTTGCATCTGTAGTCTGTTTGGCAGTGTATCATCTTGAGGACAATTTATCAGACTTACCACAGGCAGATAGATCTTCATCACTTCCATCTAAACAGTCCCACTGATAATCGCAGAGCAGACTAATGTCAATGCATTGGCCATTGGCACAGGCAAATTCTTCAGAGGAACAAATCTTCGGCAAGTCCAATTTTGTACTATCCACAAAATCAAAGTGATCCAAGCAAATGCTGCTTGCCTTGCTTTTGATAGTTCCTTCCAAGAGCAGCTGAAAGAATGTTTAGCATTTTATGTTTACCAGGCTATTAACGGAAAGAGGAAAACACAGACTAATGTCTTATTAACAGCGTCGATAATTTGTTCAGTGTTGTCATACAGTGTATTTCTTTAATTTGTTGTAAGACAGATATGATTCATATAGGTCACGAGCCACAGACAAAGACCTTGCTGATGTAAACAACCTATTTATTTACTTTCCATTTTAGTTGCCTCATTTCCATATAACATTAGCATGCTGCAGCACAGTCACATGCCAGTGATGTGTTTACATTACACATAACTGGACCAACTCTGATGGTAAATGTGTATTTATATGCACTATAGGATAAGTTTTACCCATAGGCCACATCAGGCTTATGCTTCAGTAAAACTGATTGGTTTGATTTGGATACAAATTGTACTGCCATGTGAAATTTTCCAAATTCTATGTTCATGGCACTCGCTTTTTCATTTGTGATCTACCCTTTTCCTGCATGGGTAAACTGTGCCTTTCTAATGGAGAAGGTACACATTCCACCTGCATTTTAAAAAGTGCTTTAAAAAGTGTCTTTCAAAATCCTTTCCTCCATCAACTAAACTGTAAAAAACATGAGATAAGGGGTTTATACACATTTTAAAAGGCATCTTTAAAAACTTCACTTTTTGAGCATGATCACAAGTTTGGGGATGTGTCAACTCTTTCCAAAACTGTTGGAAATGAGGCAAGTTTTGATGATCTGTGAACTGAAGCAAAAGTCTTGCACATGCCTAATCAAAATCCCTGGATGTTTGCAAACAGTTATATGTTTTGTATCCAAACAAGGCATGAATTTCACTAGCATATTAAAAGTCAGAAGAAAGCAAGGGATTAGCAAACAAACTAATCCATTTTTTGCTATGCTAGAAATTGATTTGATGCAGGAACTATCCAGGAGATAATGCATCCTGAAGCATGTTCCAAAGTAGCAGGTGTGCCATAGTTTCTGCAGTTCTATTCTGTCCTTCCAATAGAGAGCTTAATCCTGCTACAGAACTGGCACACTTGCCCAGTAGCAGCTGGCTGGCTGAATTTAAAAGGGAAAATCAATTGGAGATGCTGCTGGCACGTCCCCATGTCATCTCACTCCAGATGATTGCAATACTTGATCTGGCTCTGGAGGAAAATGAGAGCCAGTATAGGATCGAGTGCTGGATAGGAATACAAAGAACTGGGTTCAAATTTCCACTGAGCCATGAAATCCAGTGTTTAATCTTGGTGCCAGTAACTATCTCTAAGCCTAACCTATTTCATAGAACTGTTGAGAAGATATGAGGGGGAGTAATCATGTACAGTGGAGCTCCTTAGAAGAAAGGTGGGATAAAAATTAAGAAGTCAAAGAAACAGTGGAGGCATAAGTTAGATGTGAAGAGAGGAAGATTAGCTGTGGAATGCTCACTGTAGAAAAGTTGCATCCCTTTTGAAAAGGCCTGGAGTGGCTGGCTCATGGGCAAATTCTGGAGGTCATGTGAAATGTGGCGGCTAGGGAGGAGCTGAATTATTAGGTCCTATTCACCTGTCTTCCCCATCTCTTTCCAGATACCTGCTGCCTACTGGAGTGCTTGAAAGGGCACCTACTATCCAAAGCACTTTGCATGCTGGGAGTTCCCTTCCTCATATATGATGGAGAATATTGCAAGCATTCATTGAGTGGGGGTTGTCTGTTCGGAGAAGAATGAAAATACAAAAAGGAAGGACTGGGCATGGAAAGTTCCATATATGCAACAGACCTTTTACGGCAGAGGTGGGAAAACATCAGGGTTACCCCCAGAACAAAATAATTCTGAGCCAACGATTTGAGTAGAAGACCAAAATTGCATGGAGCTCAGCGTTCTTCCACACAAAAATCCACTGGTTACCCCAAGCAATGTTTGTTTCTGCTGTAGATCATCAAGAAGCTCTTTCAACACTGGGGTGCCTGAATTTCTCTCTTACCTTGTTTTTTTCACAACCTGCTGGTATCCGTATTTCTGCTTTTACCCACTCGTTGTTAGTTGGAGAACTGGCTTGCCACAGCATTACTTGTTCATCCTGATAACAACAGAAGAGTTCATACATGCGCACAAGTGGTCACAAATGTGTGTATGTGTGCTCCATACGCAATCTTTCAGAACCATAATCACTGCTGACTGGAGGAACATTCTTATCTGTACTGCTTTGCTGTGTTTACTGCTCCAATTTCAAGGACTCCAGGGAAGACAAGACATTTATTGTAATTAGGCATAATAATCAAGCAATTATCAGGAGATATCTATGTAAATGTAAAATAAACTGCACTGGGAAGTTACAAGGCAGACAAAAAGATAAATGTGTGTGTTTTCCCCGAGGCAGAGGGTTTAATGAACTGCTTCCTCAACCCATTCTCACAAAAAATTATATAGAAAATCTAATGTGTCTGTGGAAGGTCTACAGAGACACCAGTTGTATGGGTTCCAGTAGCCTTGCAAGGGACCTTTCCTGGGGTTCTGCAACACAGTGCCTCCCCCCATCCTTTCCTTTCTTAGCAGTCATGCAACCTTGAGCAAGGTGGGTCTATATTGAAGCATTTGTTCACAGTAACAAAGCAAATTGACCAGATCGTAGCAGATCTAGGGCCAAACTACATATTGCAATAAACACACTTTTTAAAAAGCATGCTTAAACTGGCCACTTTTATTTTTAAGAGAAGGCATAAGAAGAGTCATGTTGGATTCGATCAAGTCTTACATCATCTAGACTAAGGCAAGGAAGGCCTTTGGTATGACCCAGCATGGCTCTTCTGCTGTTCTGATGTTTTTGGCATAGAAACAAGCTAGAATAACACAGAGTAGTCCCTGCTCATCAAGACTAAGTCTTCCAAGGTAAAATTTCATCAGAGTTGCATAAGACTGTAAGTCTGCACTATATATGATATCGTATATTCTCAGCAGCCTTAAAAAATACCTAAAATCAGGAGTTTAGTGTTAGGACCAAGTTCTGCCATGGGCAGCCTTAGCAGAATCTAGACATAAGGAGATCATAGTGCAGGTGGCAGGAAGATGCATGCTAGATTCTTACTATCAGGCTGGCCAAATAAGAAAGCCTTCCTGCCACAAGAAAAGATGCTGCCTATTTACCAACATTCCCTTCTGTATGTGAAGGGGCCTGAGCATATTAAACCACCCATGCTAACAAACTGGCATAGTCCTAGCCTCAAAGCCTGAGTGTTTGGGGCTCAAGGGAATGGGGGAGGATTTCATTTCAGTTTGGTTATAAGAATTTATCAAAATTTACAACATTCTTCATATTTGGGACACAACTTGAGATTTAAACTTTTCAAATGTGGGAGAAAACAAAACTGACTGTCCATCCAGGCACTGAGCACTCTGCTCCTAAAGTCTTGTTTTGAATCCCTGTGTACTAAACCTTGTTAGTGCTCCAATATGAATGACACCTCTCCTTTCGCTCCTCACTTTTAACAGTTTTATGGAAGGCAGGCACATCACAATCTTCAATGGGTGAAAATATTGTTTCAGTTCATTTCTTGTATGAATTTACCAAGGTTCTTTATACCTGGAATTGAAAGAACTTGAGATTTTTTTAACTGACTCAGAGTCAGGGAAAGTGAAACTAATATATTTATCTATCTCTTTTAAGAGGTCTTGATCTACTGGCCTTGGGCTGTTCCTCAGTTTTGATCATGATGATGGGCTTTGGTTTGTCCACAAGTGCTGCCATACTGATGTACCGAGCCATCCTCTTTGAGTCAAAGATGCAGCCCAGGCTGCGATTCACAGGAGGGACCCTGTCATCTGCCTCCAGCATGACTAGGCTGATGGACTCAGCCAGCTGAATCACAGTTGAAGCCCAGGCTGCTGTTTATTTATTTATTTAGTAAACTTCTATGCCGTCCCATTCGCCGAAGCCTCGGGGCGGCTCACAGACATAAACTTCGTTAAAATAATATAAATTAACAGTATAAATTAAGTCGCCCTGGCCAAAGAATAAAATAAATAAATACTATTAACAGTTAAAATGACATTTGAATAAAAAGGTCTCTATCTATGGAATGCGCTCCTCTCTGGGGAGCGCATTCCATAGATTAGGTGCCACCGCAGAGAAAGCCCTCCTCCAGGTACTCACCGTCCTAATTTCCTTCATGGAGGGTTCCCGGAGAAGGGCCTCTCCCGCAGATCTCAGGGGGCGGGTGGGCATATATGGACGTAAGCGCTCCTTCAGATAACCAGGACCCAAGCTGTTTAGGGCTTTATAGGTCATCACCATCACCTTGAATTGGGCCCGGACTTCAATGGGAAGCCAGTGAAGCTGATGGAGGCCTGGAGTCATGTGAACATAACGCCCAGTCCCCGTCAGCAGCCTGGCAGCTCTATTTTGAACCAACTGAAGTATCCGGACCGTCTTCAAGGGTAGCCCCACGTAGAGCACGTTACAGAAGTCAAGTCGGGCAGTTCCAGGCAGGAGTTCTGAAAGTGAGGTTCTCATGTAGAAGTTCCTGACCATTCATGCAGTCATGTTTTCTTAGCACAATACTAGAAAACATTGCTGTGGGTTCTGGGTGTACAGGGAGGGAGGACATTTTAATATTTGCAAAGTTAAAACCTTCACTTCTCTTAAGGCTAAAGAGTGGTGGAAGTGTGTGTCATGTACAGAGCATTCCTTAGAAACTGGAATTCACATTTTACATTAACGCTAAAAATAATCATCAAATGGAATAAAACTATTTAGTAGCAGGAGAGAAGCCAAGCTGAAGCTGATTCCACAAGTGACAAGTCTTGCTTTCTCTTATTATACCTCCAGGTAACAAAGACTCATTTAGTCTCCTTTCCAACAACAAAGCCTTGGATAACACGCCTTATTCCTTCTGGAAAGAAAAAGTGAGTAATTTGGTAATAGATCATTGAAGTGTTGCTGCGTTCAGAACACTGCCCTGCAGTTACCAGCAACATTGGCTTCATCCTTAAAAAATATGTCCCTGGTACCTTTGTGGCTCAGTTTTGGGTTCACTGTTCGAAGGCCTGCTCATTAGCAAGGGCCAGAGGTTGTAAGGTTATTTTTTTCCACTTCCTGGTTTTGAAACAACAGCAGCAACCTTGCATGTGAAATATTCATACTAACTTGTGTTTAAAGGACATGTGCAGAGTGCTTTGCACTAGTAGATAATTGCTAACAGCAGTTCTAGCTCATCCACAGTTAGTACATTTGGAGTGTCAAAAGAGCATAATGAAGGACAAAACAATCCTAATTCCTAGTTTAGGATTAGGTTAGGATGGTGCTGAGATGTCCTTCTGCCAGTGAAGAGGAGCTCCACCAGTGGGAAGACTACAGGATACATTACTGGAATGGAGAAGGATGTGATTTAGGAAATGCGTAATCTCTAGAACAACAGTAACAACTGGGGATAAAGCTCAAATCCTTTGGATGGCACGCCTAGAGTGTTTCCCTTTTTCTCTGGCAAAGCTTCTGCGCACCACAGCCACGTTTCAGCTAGTTAATCCCCCCACCCCAATCATTTCTATTCTATTTCAGGAAAAATTCTATGTCAAATTCTCCACTTTAGCACATGGCCATGACAGCTGGGGATGATGGAAGTCCAACACATCTGGAAGCCACCAGGATGGGAGCGAGTGCTTTATGCCATAGAATTACCAGATTTGCAATTCTTAACAGTTCCTTTTGGAAACTTCTGGGAGGAAAAACATTTCCATTGAGTGGATTTTCCACAAAGAGAATGTGACATCAATTGCTACACAGGTTTTCTGTATCACAGAGATGGTTTCCATGCTAGTGCCATATATTCTTTGAAATCTGCCTTTTACTGAGCAAGACCATCAGTCTGCCTCATTCAATGTTGTCTGCACCAACTGGCAGCAGACTGAACCAGCAATTTTGGCATGCTATGGCCCCTCACTAACAGATGACATTGACATTACAAACAGCCAGCTCCTGTTTTCTGTGCCTTGGTGGCCCATTCTTGGCAACAGCTGATGCTGATATGCAAGTGTTTATGCAAAGTGAAGGATTTGTATAATAAATGACACAACATGCTATGTCTTACTGAAAGGATGAAGGAAGATGCCAGAAATCTACTCTCCTTCCTTCCTTCCTTCCTTCCTTCCTTCCTTCCTTCCTTCCTTCCTCTAAAGAAAAACAAAGTCTACATCCTGCCTACCTTCTCACTCCCAATTCTGTCACATTTCCCATTTCAAAAAGAGTGAATGAAACTACTCTGGGTAGCACCAAACTAAAACCTGAAATAGTAGTAATACTTGGGGTGTAATTTCTAAAAGAACTAGTGGTTCTAGTCCCTCCAGCCATGAGATGTTATAGCTTTCCCTGCTTTATCCTCTTTTACAAGCACAATGAATGGATCTCCCAGCCATATTCCCATTAGGGCAGAACTGGACGGGATGGAAAGGGACCAGAAGGGAAGGAAAGAAAGATTGGATATGCCTTACAAAATCAAATCTGTCTTACTAGCTGAAGCTGAATTACAGATGAGTTTTGTTCCTTACCTTATTGGTATAAAGTACTGCTTTGAGGACACTGCTATCCACCATGAAGTAGTAAAACGAAAAATGGCAGTTCTCCCTGAAGCAATGACACAATGAGTCATTCAGGTGGGTGCTTTTGTATGATGTGTTGTTGCGAGTGGGTGTCCACTTATAGTAGCCTGAAAAAGAAAACCTCCATTAGTTCTTTGAAAAGAAAATGACTAATTTTCTCTAATTAAATGGGGTATATCTATTTTCTGGAGGCTGTCACTTCCATACAATTTCTTTAAGCACAGTTCTTTGATGTCCCTGACTTCCTGGAGATCAAAGAACCATACATTTGCAATAAACCTAAAAATCAGACATTTGAGGCTAGCCTCACAAACCTGGGGCAGGGAGTTGGTGGCTCTACTTGTCTCTAGACAACTTAATACAAGAAGGCAGCATGTCTTCAATCCGTACTGCGCTCATTATGCCAGGGCCCAGTCAATTGTTTGGGCCAACGTAAAGCAATTTCAATCATTTAATAAAGTTAAGGAAGTGGGAATTACTCACAGGTTGTGGTACCCAGAGAGTTCAAAAAGTTACCTTCTGGATACAGTTGTTTTGTGTTAAATATGCATGGCATTGGTCTGATTGGTCAGATATAACATCAATCAATGGCAAATAGAGCTAATGGGGAATTATTTCATTAAAAAGAGGGTCCAGGGAGAGGGACCACTTAATCCCATGGCCTAATCTTCCAACCATTGTTAAAATGGCTGCTAGTCTGCCAGCCTTTGTCCATTATTGCTCTCATTTGGAGAAGTTTCCTTAAGTCCTCCTTTCTTCCCATCCTGTCTAGGTCTGTTTGTTTTCATATTTAATGTGTTATATCTGTACACTCACACAATAACAATGTGTGTCTGCTTAGAAATAAATCCTATTTTGACTTCAACTGAACATATTCTTGGGTAACTATGCATAGGATTGCAGTCGAAAACTTTTACAGAGTTTAAAGAAATTTTTAAAGCCCATTTTAACTGATAAAACTACCAGGAAATAGGAAATCTGACCAGAATCAATCTGTACAACAGCTCCATACCAAGACATTAGCTAGAATATTGTGTGACCAGTTGCAGAAGAACATTGGTTTATGGCTAAAGCCTGAAACCAATTTTGGAACTTCTTGACCTTTTGCTCCTGATAGCAACAGCTCTACAGAGGCCTAAGAAAATGACTTATATTGTACATATTCTCTTTTATCTATCAGAAATAGAAAGAGCAGAAACCTGGTCTTTATAAAATATATCATCACTTTTTACTCCTGAATCATTTGCCTCCCTAGCTATTTTCAGCAGCTGATAGTTAAAATCTTCCAAGAACTCTCTTTCATTATTATTAAGTCTAATGCTTCATCCTTCATAATCTCTGAATATTATCTTTAGGACCAAAACAGAGCTTTTTTCAACAGTTTCTGTCAAAGAGAAAATAAGGTGGCACTAGAGTCAAAGAGGCAACAGTAGGTTTCTAAAATGAGGTCAGGCATTTGTATGTTTCCTGCTAATAGGTTGTGCAGGTTGTTCGGTTTCCATACTGCCATATCCTGACATTCCACCTCTCTTCATGACATCGAATTTGAAATTGGTAATAAAGCATATCAGAAGTTGTTGCGCCATTGCGTTGACTGGCATGGCAGCAGAAATGTAAGGCAATAGCATCATTGGCATTTTGTCATTTTTCATCATGCAGAAGCTGTAGCTTTTTGACCTCTTTCTTCACTTCACCCTGGGCTCAAACAGAAGTTCAGGACCCTTCTTACCCTCAGGACAAATACTAATAAAAGAAGTTATTTTTCAGACCATGCTGTTGTGAGCTGAGGTTCACCAGCCACAGACCATTTTCCTGCCAAAATATTCTTTATTGCTCCCAAGTACGAATCACCCAGAATGGATTTCTGAACACGCAAAGGGTTTTTGTTTTGTTTTATTTAACAGAATCTGGTGTTTATCTCCAGAAACTTTCCTTATGAACATGCCTTGGTCCCATTCCCTCAGGGCCTCCCCTCTGCATGCTGCTCATTCAACTGGACCTCCCGCCTCTGCTGACACCTGACCATGGGCCTGCACCTGAGAGTCCTCATCCTCAAGGACTTCCACTGGCTGTACATTTTGACCATTCCGAGCCACTGCCTGGCTCAGTGAAGCACCTGGCCTTGTGATAATCACCTCCTTCTCCTCCTGCATCTCTTGAATCTTGACCAAGCACATCCTCCCCAATCTTACTGAAGTAAGTTTTACTTTCCAATTCTGAACTATCTGGAAGGCAGCCAGAAGTCTGTGGGAAAAATTTCCCAAGACCACTATCCTCATTCCCAATGTATCCTGCTTTGGAGTTTCAATTATTGTTAACTTGAGTTTTGATATATCAGTTCTGGTCATCAGAACTGTGGATAATCCAATGTTTTATTTTCCTTCATAAAAAGAAATCCCAAAGATCTGAATCCTATCACTTTGCCAACGAACATGGATATATCTAGGCATCTTCGATACGTGTCTAGCTATTACAGGCCACTGAAAACAGACCTTTCCAGCACTCTCCTAAATACTAGCTGTCAGTAATTTAGGGATAGCTGTAGGGTTCTGTTTTTCTGTATTTAGCACATGCTCTGAGAAATATTAGTCCTGAGAGCCATCCAGACCAGAACATAAGTATTTAAAGGAATAAACATTTACTTAGCAGGTCAGCATTCTGAAAATAAATATCTGATAAATATATATAATATTTATCTGATAAATATAGATAATAACAGTTCTACAAACCTAGTATGATGTTCCTGTTTTCCATAACTTTTCTCCCTCCCTTCCCATTCACAACTCTGATTCTTTATTCATACTGGCGTTAAACTGACTATTTTTACTTGGAAGAAAAAGGCCTTGCTGGACCTTGCAATCCTTTCAGTCTGGAACAGGGCCCTGCATTCATATCTCCTGGCCAATATCTCTTGTCCCCAGCTTCTGTATCCACCTAAAGATACTGTTGAAGTAAGCAGATGGGAGCTCTGAAGCCCCTTTTAATGGCCTGCATATGGGTTTTAATGTTTGCAAACTGCCTAGAGAGCCCTCTGGGCAACTGGGGCAGTATATAAATGCAATAAGTAAGTAAGTAAGTATTACTGCAACAGCATTTTTAGGCCAAACAAGAAGTCAGCAAAAATATGCAAGCTTTTGAGATTGACTAATCTTTACTTCAGGCAAGCTCTTATAAAAAGCAATAAGGCAGGAAGTAAAGTCTGATGCTGAAATCATGGGATCTTCATGACTGCAATCTTGAGAAGAAATGGTGCAGAAATAGTCTGCAAACATTTCAACATGGCTCTAAGCAGATGGTGAGCTGCTCTCAGGCTTTACCTAGTCCTGCCCCTAAGGCATCAGAGTAAAAAAGGCAAATAAATTGGATGCCCCATCTTTGGACATATAAAGTGTTCAGAATATTTTCCATCTCAGGGAAAGCACATAAGCTCCTTCATAGAATCACAGAATAGTAGAGCTGAAAGGGGCCATGAAGGCCATTGGGTCCAACCCCTTGCTGTTGCAAGACACCAAAATCAAGGACACTTGATCATGAAAAACAGTAAGTCATGAAACCCTGCACATTTTGGGTGACTTTTTGGTTGGCCTATTAAAGACATTATATTAATATTGCTTCTGGAATTTTTTTGATGGTCAAAACTTTGGCTTTGGCTTTTAGCTTCGGTGAAATGTGATTGGTTTAAGTATGCTTCTTAAAAGCACAAATGCAAAGACTGAAGACTCTTAGGTACCACAAACCAGTTAGATGGACTGATCTTTGCTCTGGCATCAGTGGAATATAAATATGGGCTTATTTATTTGTATTAAATACTCACATTGGTGAGCCAAGTCTATGCAGGGCAATATATAACAGCACAAGTCATAGCATGGTCAGGTCTGAAGTTCTGTTGAATTTGATGGGACTTAATTCCAGGTAACTGTGCAAGGCATTGCAGCTATCATTCAAAGACAGAGATTATTAATAAATTCACCTCAGTGTTAGTAACGGGGGTCTCTGTATTCAGGGTACAGGATGACCAAAATTGTGCTTTACTATTCAATTGAGGTTCCATTTCTAGCCTAATTTTGCTCTTCAGTAACTTGAGTTCAAGCAACTCATGGACTGCATCTAGGATGAAAGTTTAGATTCTGTTCAAGCGGGTTTTCTAATCCCACTCATTTGTATGCATCTGTACATAAAACAATCTTGTTAGAGAGTTATGCTTTGAGACAGCTATATCCTTGAAACTTACTTAGCATGGGAACTTGCATCTCATTTTGGTGCTGTCAATAAACTTTCCCTTGACAATGATTACCATTTTTTAAAAGATCCAATTTATTGGTCACTCTGGGATGAATAAATGCTATGATAAACCAACTTACATGCCCAAAGGGTAACGTTCTAGGCAAGAGAGTATAAGCCTAATTTGCAGGTGTTCTCATCACAGTGCAGTTTGCACACTATAGCAGCCAAGGAGAAGCCACTGAGAATTGCTTCCTCTTGGTGGCAGCTCCATACAGTAGCACAGCATCCCTGCCACCCAGAATCATCAACAGTTCACCAGCAGCTGCTAGAGCTAGCCTGAAAATTGCAGCTATTCTCATTCAATCTGGCAGAACTGTATGTGCTCAGGCACAGATCCCCATTGCAGAGAGAGCTACCATGCAGAGAGCAGGATCCCTTTTGTAGACATTTTGCCCAAATGCATGGATGGCAGGATACACTGGGAAGAATGGACCCAAAATGTGTGGCCCCCTCTCCCCTCTTCAGATGATTATAATGGCATGGACAGGAACACCTGAAAAAGCAATATACTTTTTATGACAGCGTCTTGTACAGACAGGACGAAGATGCTACACAGACCTTCATCAGGGCAGTGATTTGCATTTATTCATGTCACTTTCCTTCTTTCAGAAAAGACCCCAAAGTGGCCTGTATAGAATACAGGCTTTTTTGAAGGCCAAAAATGCAAGTGGAAAACACTCTCCACTTGAATTAAACATTGCTGAAGTTTCACACAAGTGTTCTCAATCATCAATGAGCAGCAAACAGAGGCATTACTACTGGGATGGAATAAAAAGCTATTTATGCGTTTCAGTAAATTGGATTTAGAAAAAAATCCCCAATCTAATCTGTAAAAACTGGTTAATCATAAGCAGCTAGAATATTTCTCCTTTCATACTTTATAAGAGAAGAAAAATATAATTCTCAAATATAACAATAAGCCATAGGGAACTGTTGGTTAACATTTCTGCATAATTCTATGTGCTGTTAAAATGCTGCATTTATTCTCTAACACTTATTGACCAGTATATTTGCAAACTGCTAAAAGGAGGGGAAAATACAGCAAAGCTGCCATTTATAACAATAGGAGAACAAGACAGTTAAAAGAACTCTAAACCAACAAGTGACAGATCTCTTAACATTAACACAATTGAATGGACATCTCTGCTTCACTACAAAGTCTCCTTTGGTGCAACAATCATCCATTCCAATAAAGTTTCCACTAGCACAAATGCCATAAAACTCAAGAGTTTAATAACACAGAAAATAGAATTCACACAGCTAGAAAAAATATCAGTCAAGGTCAGAACAAAAAGTTTATTATATCTCTTGAGTACATCAAAAAGAATTACTCATATTCCATAATCAAATTCATTTTGAGAATACAGTTGTCTAGACTAAGTAACTGTGATTTAATTTAGTGCTCCCTCCTTATGGGGCAAGGCGGAAGAT